GTTACTTCCTTTCGGTAGTTTGACTTTGTCACAATTCCTCTGTTGTCAGCTAGGCCCGGAGACCTGCCTCCTGTTTTGCACACCACAGGGCCACCAATATACACAAACTGGTTTGTGTACTGCTGGAGTGGTGTGTGCAAAAGGCCTTGGGAGACAGGAGGAAAAGAGAGGCTGCCTAGGAAATGGACACAGGATGAGGGCTGATGATGTTACCTAGTTGAGTAGTGAAACATCTGCAAGAAAACAACCCAGCTCAAAGAGCGCCAAGGACCCCTGTTTTCAACCCTGAGCTACAAACATTTTCTTGTTATTGAGATCAAAAGTCTGCAATCCCATGACAAATCTGTGCATCCCTAATCAAGGGTGAATGAGTCAGTCTCCTGCATGGATGGCCAATATGCTTTGCGAGAAAGTTAAAAAGATGCTTTAAGCTAGGGGTGTCAAACTCAATTTCATTGAGGGCCGCATCAGCATTGTGGTTGACCTCGGGGTGTGTGTGTATGTGTGGCCAGGGTGGGCGTGGATGGAGTGGATGTGGCCTATTGGGTGGGCATGGCCAACTCTACATCATTCGCGTCAAGGGTGCCTGTGAGGGCCTGGACAGGAGTGGGACAGATCTGAGGGTCTCTGGCAGAAGGGGGTGGGACCGGAGCAAGCGCCAAGGCATGGTCCATTTCTTCATTCCTCACAAAGGGCGACACCTCCCCAGCATGCACCCAGGGGACGGGGCCGATGCGGCAGGGGCTGGTTCTTCGCTGTTTCTGGATGGCCTTGTGGAGCTAAGACTGAATGCGTTTCAGCATAGATGGCCGCCACAAAATTGTACATTGGCTCCCGGCCAGCCTGGTCCAGGGCCTAAGCAATGGGGGCTGTTTCCCTCACTGTTTCCAGGATGGCTTCACGGCCACATGAAACCACTTTGTGGGCTGCATCTGGCCCCCGGGCCTTGTATTTGACATGTCTGCTTTAAGCAAACCCAAATGAACGAACTGGAGTATCGTTAGATAATTAGTTCAACACCAACCCAGAGAGATGAGGTATTGGGTTTGAATGTCCAACAAGATTTGGTCAGGAGCTGAAGAGCAAACTAAAATCTCTGAGGAACTGTGGGCTTCTTGGGCCACTTCACACCCCTACAAGGGATTGTCACTGGGCAAAATTGAGAATTAGAGAGATTTACTGAATGTGGTGGAATGTAGCCTGGAGTCCCAGAAGGAAGGGGGTGCCTCCCAAAGGCAAAGAACTTGGAATCTTGGGTAGGCAGGAAGAGGAAAAAAACAGTCCACAGAGTATATCTATAGCTTTAGCCTGGCAAGATTCTGTCTCTAGGTGAACTTCAATCAAACAGAACCATCCAGATTATTGGGTTATTCAGAAGGGGTTCATCCATGCACAGAAGCCCATTTTCCCTAGTGACGTTTGGGATCCCTACTTGTCTTACCCGATCTTTGGTTTAGGAGGACCCCCATTAGATTTTTCTGGCCAAGCAGAGCAAGGTGGCGGAGCTCCAGAAAAAGCACCGCTGGAATATCCGCCGTTGCTAACTCAAGGTTGATCTCCCATTGTTTTCTCTCTCTCCTACTCTTCTCTACTCCACACCCAGCTTCAGACAAAAATCAGCGAAGGCTGACAGCTGCCGCCCATCTTCTAGAAGTCATCCAAGGTCTGGAACAGGCCCACCAGGCTTTTGAACATCAAGAAGATGGAGAGAAACCAGGGACTGGCGCTCTACCACCTCCCTAGATGGCGTCTCCCATTGGGAACCAGATTTTTTTTTGTCTGTGTTGTATTGATGACGTCGTCTTTACATCTGTCTGGAGAAGAAAGCAACTGCCTATACTGCAGATTATGCTCTTGTTGAACAATGTCCTCTTGAAAGGAGAACATGGCAGAAATTACAACACCTTTCTATCCTCCTAGCTGTACTCAACCAGTGTTCTACATGAATCTAGAAGAACGGGTCTGTGTGTTCAAGGTTCTGCTTATCACAGAGATGGATGGAAGTTAGTTCCTCTGGCCCACAAATCTCCTGTAGCCCCGAACTGTAGGTCTTGGCACCGTCATCTCTGTTTGATCAAGTTTCTGGTCTTTATCACAATAATGATAAGTTTGAAAACATGGGGAAGTCCTACTCCAGTCTCAAGAGAAGAGACCGATGGCTGCATAACATTTTCAGAGGTGCTGAATAAACTCCTTCCCTCTATCTGAGCTGTTCCTCTGAGCTATAAAATGTGGGCCATGGTAAGCGAACTTTGAAAAACAGAGAATAAAGTAATACGAAATGAGGAAATTGTTGGCTGTCTCTTTTTGTCTAGATCAGGGTTCCCCAAACTTGCAACTTTAAGAATTGTGGACTTCAAGTCCCACAATTCCCCAGGTCTCCAGCTGTGAAGGTTCTCCATGTCTGCTGAGAGAGAGAGGGGGGGGAACTGCCCCTGTGCATCAGTCTTTCCTCTGAAAACTCGCTCACACATGGGTTTCCATTGGGCAGTTCATCCTCGTCTATAATTACCTGCAAATCATCTCCAGTAGATAGACCTGAGTGGGTTTTATTTCTCTCAAGTTCAGTGGAGCCACTGATGACCAGAAAAAGCTGTCCGTTCAGAGGCCTTTCTCTCTCTCCTTTTCCTTTCCTCCCTCATTTCCTTCCTTTCTTCTCTCCTCCCCTCTCCTTTCTCTTTTCTTTTTCTTCCTCCATCCATCCCTTCTTCCATCCTTTCTCTCCTCCCTCCCTATACCACTGTTATCTATCTATCTATCTATCTATCTATCTATCTATCTATCTATCTATCTATCTATCTATCTATCTATCTTTCTATCTATCTATCTATCTTTCTTTCTTTCTTTCTTTCTCCCTTCTTTCCTCCCTCTCTCCCTCCCTCCCTCCCTTTTTTCCTTACTTTCTTCATGACTTTTTAAACCACACCCTGCATGCTCTCCTGCTCAAATTCCCTGCTCTCTGGAGTGAAGCTGTGTAGTGCCACAGGGTCCTGCCACGGATTGTGAAGGATGTCAAGAGTTACCCTTAGCGCCCCCCCCCCCCCCCCCCCGGTTATTCTCTCTCCTTCTTTCTCTAGCAAAACAGTTCAGCAACTAAAAGAAAACACGCCACCAAGTTAGGCTCAGAGTGCCAAAGTCAGAGTCATCTCTTGGTGGACATTGCATCCTGTCTCTCTTAAACAGATGGTTTTTAATTTAAACACAAAAGAAAATAACTTCTGGCAAAGCAGGGCTGCAGTCTCCAGTGTGACCTTTACTTCCGAGACTTGAATTATCCACGTCCTTTTTCCTTGCCCTTTATCCTTCTCTCCAAAGGTTATGAAGATTTAATTTATTTTTCATTGCAAAAAGAAAAACAACGGGGTGCATCCTGGGAAGCCACTGAAATTGGATGTTCCTGTCGCCTCCAAATGAGGGTAGAAAAGAGCTCCAATTTTAAAATCCAGATCATCGATCATGGCCAGATAGAAGAAGCTAGAGAAACCAGGATTCTGAATTAGCCTAAGGCTGCTTCCTGTGTTGGTGATGCCCAGCCAATAGTTTCGATTCAAAAATCCAATTCAGAGTGAAAAGGAGGACTAGGGGTGACCTGGTGGCCGTGTGGCAATATTTGAAGGGCTGCCACAAAGAAGTGGGGGGGGGGGGTGTCAGCCTAGTCTCCAAAATAATGTTTAAATCATTTTAAATCATGAAATTGAATTGTCCTGCGATGAGTTGGCCACGCAGGCAGTTATTTCTATTTGGGACGATTCAAATCGGTTCATTGCCTTTTCCTGGAGATGCTCCTGTCCATGTGAAACACTATTCCTTGATGCTTCCCCCCCCAGCCCCCTTTCACACAATCCTTGTGAAACTCTTCAAAGAAAAGGGAGCCAAGCTCTTCTCCAAAGCCCCTGAAGGCAGGACAAGAAGCAACGGATGGAAACTAATCAAGGAGAGAAGCAACCTAGAACTAAGGAGAAACTTCCTGACAGTGAGAACAATTAACCAGTGGAACAACCTGCCTCCAGAAGCTGTGAATGCTCCAACACTGGAAGTTTTTAAGAAGAGACCGGACAGCCATTTGTCTGAAAAGGTATAGGGTTTCCTGCCTGAGCAGGGGGTTGGACTCGATGACCTATAAGGTCCCTTCCAACTTTATTATTATTATTATTATTATTATTATTATTATTATTATTATTAATCAGGAAACTGATCACCCGTGAGAATTGTGACTGCCTATAAATGATTTGGAAGGTTGTGGAAGAGGAATGTGCAGATTACTTGAATTAAATCCCAACTGCGAAGAAGACCAACATTGTCAGAGAGAGAGAGAGAGAGAGAGAGAGAGAGAGAGAGAGAGGGAGAGAGAAAAAAGGATTGCTGGTCACTTCTCTTAATGAGAAAGGAGCCTGTAGAACAGTGATTCTCAGACCTGGTCACTTGAAGATGGAGGGATTTCAACTCCCACAATTCTTCAGCCAGATGGAGAATTCTGGGAATTGAAGTCTGGCTTGGATTCTGCTTTGGGCAGGCTCAAAGTGATTGGAACCAGCCAAAGCCATTAAAGAAATGTCAGCTTGGCTTCTAGGCCAGGGGTCCCCCAACCTTTCGGGCACCAGGGACCGGTTCTATGGATAGAGGTTTTCCCGCGGACCGGAGGGTGCGTGATTTCACATGCTGCCTGCATCTCGCGGATCGGACTTTTCTTGTTTGCGCGGACCAGCTTGTGGCATCGATCCACGGACCGGGGCTTGTGGACCCCTGTTCTAAGCCACCTGGCTGCAAGAATTGGTGCAACCTTCCCCAATTTGTAATCCCATAATTTTAGGCTGGAGAAATAAGAACTCATAAGTCTTCCCATCCGGTAAGTTCCTAATCTGCTTGTTCCTGCTTTGGGTGACCAAGCGGAGATTCCTATTTCAAAATAATAAAATCTCAAGACTTTGGGGCTCTCTGGAACCTCCCACTAATGATGTTTGTGGACCAATCCTGCACTGGTGACACCACGGCCAATAACGTTTCGCTCTGTTTTCGTCCCATTTTTATTATTGTTGTTGTTGTTGTTATTGCATCTGCTTGATATGGACCAAAGCGGTGTATAGAAGTTACATTTTCTCCTTTTAAGTTATTTCTGTCCTCTTTGGTAACGTGTCCCAGTCTTGCCCTCGCATCTGGAGAATTGAACATGCTACATAAGATTGTGGAGGATAGAAAATTCGCCAGAAGAGACATCTCCAGAACTGATCCAGGCTGTTGTATGGTTTGCAGAAACTGGCATCGCTTTCTTTTCATCTTTCAACGGAGGAGGACCTCAAGGTGGAACGCAACCTGTCAAACGGATGTCAAGCAAGGGGAGACAGAAGGTGGCATCTTATTGGCTGAAGCCTGGGCCTTTTCAGGAATGGCAGAGGCAATGGGAGCAACTGCCCCCACACAATTGCCGAGACTTCCCAATGGACTGATACTTGGCTTTCAAGACTCTAAAAACCATCCAGGAGGACAATGGTCCTCCTAAGGCTTCAGAATATGGAACATCTCCATTGTCGACGATGGACCAAAAAAAGCAGAACAGGGAAATCGATGCAGGTATTTGATGCCGCAGGAAGAAAGGAATCAGCCCTCTTCCATCACCACCAAAATGGTTCAGAACACAGGTCCAAAACTATGTATTTTGGTGTTTGGGGAGATGAGAAGAAGACGATGTAAGACTGACGGTCAGAAAGGCCTGTCTGTCCAAGTATTGTGGGTGGAGTATAAAGGGCCAAGCATCCAGTTTATCCTGCAACACATACTTTGTGTTTGTTAAATAAACAGCTAACAAAAGGGATCGGTGGAAGGAGAAGATCTTGTGAGCTTTCCAGTCTTCACCACCAGCTGTGGCTCCAATTACAAAACCTCCTCCATCTTGCAGTATATATATATATATATTTTAAAGAGAAACATCACCAACTAGGTGATAAACTTTGCATTTCATCAATGAAGGCTGGGGGGGGGGGAGAACAGAGCCAAAGAAATGGGGATGGGCCCCTTTTTTATTTGCATGGAAGGCAAATGACAAAGCTGGTTGACCACATTCTGCCTGCTGCGAAGCCATCACGTCAGCCTTCCTTAGGTGCCCAAGTTGGATATTTTTCCTGCTTCTTTGGGCAGAGCCACACAGGCAAGCGAGGAACAGAGACAAAAGGAGGCAGAATAACCTGGGTGTGGGATTGGAGTAGCTAGAGATGGAGCGTTTGGAGTAGTGAGCCTTGAATCCATGGGAATGGCCAAGAATTTACACGCACAGGTAGAAAAAAAGAAGAGACGAGCAAAAGGCTTGCATCAGCTGCTCACTCACAAAGCTTTGGATTGTTTTTTGTCCTGGGAGGGAACCCCGAAACCATGTTGCGAATCCTGCCAGGGGTGGTTTGAAGTTGAAGCTAGTCAAAGCAACTTGGGAAGGTGGAAGGCACCGTCCCAAACACGGCTGCCTCGCCAATCAGCAAACACAAACACGGATGGACAGAGGGAGGAGAAGACAGGCAGTGCTTGCGTTGCACGTGGCAAAATGGAGGCAGGAGGAACGTTGGGTGGACGGAGGCCAAAAAACACCTTCTCAGTCCTTCAGGTTGGCTTCCAAGACCCCCTGGGCCGTCAGTTCAGCCAGGACATTGTCCAGGTAGTTCGGGTCAGGATAGCCGTGCCCAGTGAGGTTGGAGCCAAATTCGGTCTTGTGGTGAATCTCGTTCCACACCACAGTGTCCGATTCACCCGTCGTGTTCGAGGTCCCGATGGTGAAGATGAGTCGGCGTTCCCAGGCCACAATGAGGAGTTTCAAAATCTGGGTGAAAAGAAGGTAAGATAGATATAGATATATTAAAAAAATATCCTTTCTCACTCTTGTGGGTGGTCTTGTTTTTCTCAATGTCGGGTCTTCTACCAGTGGACTGGGATTTTGAGGGTTCTGTGCAGGATCTTAGCTGTTCCTAGCACTGCACTTTTTTGGACAAAGTGCTCTGCTGTCATTCCTGGGATCGGTTGGAGACCCTCCCTCAACTTAGGAGTCACAGCCCCAAGTATTTCTACCACCACTGTGACCTCTTGGGACTTGACTTTCCACACCCTCTCCAGTTCCTCCTTCAGGCCCTGCTACTTCTCCAGCTTCTCATACTCCTTCTTCCTGATCTTCCTCTCACTTGGCAATTCTGCAACTACTACCACCACTGTCTTCCGGTCCTTGTGTGTTACAACGATGTCTGGTTGATTGGCTAGCATCTGGCTGAATATCTGGACCACCACTGTCTTCCGGTCCTTGTGTATTTCTACAATGTCTAGTTGATTGGCTACCACCTGCCTATTAGTCTGGAAGTTGCACAGGTGCTACCCAATGAACATCGTAGTAGTAAACAAGCACCAGAAGACAGTGACGCTGATAGATGTGGCGGTGCCAACTGACAGCAACATGAGGAAGAGAATGTGAAGCCCCAGGGCATGTGCACAAATGCCATCAATACAAAACGGAAGCGATGATATCACAAAGGGCAAGGAATGGCGACTGCTTAAGTATGTTCCAGTTGAAGTCCACTAAAAGTCAAAGGTCCAGGTTTACCTTTCTGCCTTTCTCGTTGTCCGGAAGATAACAATGACGTGGAAATCCTCGTGCGGTGAATTTTTTTCCAGGGTTTGGATGCTCTATGCCCTGCTTAAGCAAAAAAAAAAAAAAAAAAAGAAAAAGAAAAAAGAAAGAGAGTTGGGAGAGGCAAAAAACCATGCATCTAGTCCACAAGGTGTGTTATGGAAAGAAGTAGTAGCAGTTCTCAACTTACAACCGGTTGAAGTTATAGTGAAGTCAACATCCCTTCAAAATTACAGGCAGTTCATTTAGTGAATGTTTGAAGTGACAATGGCACTGAAAAAGGCACTTATGACTGTTTTTTCACACTTATGCCCACTGCAGCATCCCTACAGACAGGTGATCAAAATTCAGATGCTTGGCAACTTGGTATTTATGACGGTTGCAGCGTCCCGGGGGTCACATGAACCCCTTTTGCAGCAAGAAAAAAGGTCGTAAAATGGGGCAAAACTCACTTAATAAATGTCTTGCTTAGCAACAGAAATTTTGGGCGTTCTTGTTCTCACCTGGATCCCCGCAGGAATGTTGTACAGGATGCGGATCGTTTTGCAATTCGGATAGCCAGGAAGAGAGTGGGGGATGACGTGGAATTCCATTTTTCCAGGCGGCTGAGTCCCTGTCTTCTCCCCGTAGATGGCCTTGCAAGTGGGGCACTGGAGACTGCCATCCTGAGGGGCAGAAGGAAGCGAGGGGATGAGGAGGGGGTGCAGATCAGCCGTCCAGGGATCGTGACATGCCAACGAACCCGCCGGTTGATGATTTTATTTACTTATTTAAATCGATGGACTGCCCAATGCCCAACGTTTTTTTTCCCCCCCATAGCCATTTCATTCAAAATTACATGAAAAAGATAAAGCCTTTGAAGACAAAGTTCAAAGAAGAAAAAAAACGGAAAGGAACAATCGAAAAGGAAGGGAAAAAAATAAGAATGTGGTAATGAAAAAGGAAACGGATGGACTTTTGCTGATCGGGACCGAAGGAGAAGGGCTGATAAGGATTTGTTTAGAGATAAGAGATCCTGTGTTGTATTTTAATACCAGATGATAAATGGCTAAGTTTATCACATCTATCTATCTATCTATCTATCTATCTATCTATCCATCTATCTATCTATCTATCTATCTATCTACCTATCTATCTAGTATCTACACCTATGCTCTCTCTATCATTATATCTATCTATGATATCTTTCGTATCATTATTTGTTTATATCTATATATATTATCTTCTATCTCTATCATTCTCTCTATCATCTCTCTCTCTCTCTCTCTCTCTCTCTCTCTCTCTCTCTCTCTCTCTCTATCTATCTATCTATCATCTCTATCTATCTCCTATCTATCTATCTATCTATCTATCTATCTATCTATCTATCTATCTATCTATCTATCTCCTATCTATCTATCTATCTATCTATCTATCTATCTATCTATCTAATTTATATACTGGTCATCTCACTGTTTGGGGTGACTCCATATATTTCTTCATTATTTCTATTTCTTTTTTATTCTTTTCAATCCCGGGGGGGGGGAATTGAGACTCCACCCCCAAACCAATAATGTTCCCCAGATTCCCTCCCCCCCCCCAGCCACCCATTTGAATCAGGGCTCACCTTGTTGCCGTTGTTGTACATGGCAACGAGACAAAGGAGGTGGTACATGTGTCCGCATTTTCCCAGCTTTCCTACCAGTTCCGGCTTGGCACCCTTGTGCCTGAGGATGCCCTCGTAACCAGAGGAGGACACCAATCTCTCCATGCAGATGGTACAGTCCTGTTGGGGGGTGGGTGGAAACAAATCGGGGGTGTCAGCAACAACTAACAAGGAGGGAGGCTGGGTTCCAGGGAGCTGTAAAGCACTGGGAATAAATTAGGGGGAAAAATGTAGAATAATACGGTTGGAAGGGACCTTGAAGGTCTTGCAATCCAGCTCTCTCTCTAGTTCTAATCTAGAATAGAATAGAATAGAATAGAATAGAATAGAATAGAATAGAATAGAATAGAATAGAATAGAATAGAATAGAATTACAGAATGGAATGGAATGGAATGGAATAGAATAGAATAGAATAGAATAGAATAGAATAGAATTACAGAATGGAATGGAATGGAATGGAATAGAATAGAATAGAATAGAATAGAACAGAGCTGAAATGGACCTTGGAGATCTTCTAGTCCAGCCCCCTGAGAACCTATACCATCTCAGACAAGGAAGGAAGGAAGGAAGGAAGGAAGGAAGGAAGGAAGGAAGGAAGGAAGGAAGGAAGGAAGGAAGGAAGGAAGGAAGGAAGGAAAAGAGGGAAGGAATAGAATAGAATAGAGCTTGAATGGACCTTGGAGGTCTTCTAGTCCATCCCCCTGCTCAAGCAGGAGAACCTAGACCATCTTAGACAAGTGACTGTCTAGTCTCTTCTTAAAAACCTCCAGTGATGGAGCACCCACGATTTCTGGTGGCAAGCTGTTCCACTGGTTAATTGTTCTCACTGTTAGGAACTTTCTCCTTAATTCCAGGTTGCTTCTCTCTTTGCTCAGTTTCCAACCATTGTTTCTTGTCCTGCCCTCAGATGCTAGTTCAATCTAGACTGTTGCTGGGAGTGTTTGTGCCAAGGATGAACCCGAAGGAGCGATGACCTGTAGATCCAAGCCAGCTTCCCAATGGGAAAGATTGTTTTTTTATTTACTTATTCGTATCCTGCCTCTTAACCGCTGGACTTTTATCATTTCAAAATGCTCGTGCAACCTCTGTAAGGTGGCAACACTTGTTCACGTGTGCCTTTCGGTGACTCAGAATCTTAAAATGTACCACAAACCATTGCATGATAATAATTGCACCACCTTGGTGCAGATGTAAGCACTTTCCTGTTGCTGAAAATTACACACCTGGGACCTCACGTCTAGCATCTCTTTGCTCCAAGTCATTTGCTTCTATATTTAATCCTCGTTTCATCTCTACCTCCTCTTGTTTTAAGCGCCTTGAGACTCCAGGATCTCTCCCCCTTTACTCCACAACAGCCTTGCAAAGAACATAGAATAAGAGTTGGAAGGGACCTTGGAGGTCTTCTAATCCAACCTCCTGCTCAAGTAGGAGACCTTATATCATTCTGGAACAATCTCTTCTTGAAAACTTCCAGTGATGGAGCACCCACAGCTTCTGAAGGCAAGCCATTCCACTTGTTCTCATAATCAGGAAATACTAGATTGAAAGGGGGGACTCAATCTACTCATGCCTGGATATTGTATACTTTTTGCCCCACTGGTGGGTCAGAAAGTGGGGTAACTCACCTCATCAGGGGGGTTCTTTACTTTCTGGATATAACGTCGTACCACATCCTCGGGGTTTCTGCCTGGAGAGAAGAGAAAACTCAGGGCTGATTCAAAGGCATGAATACACCCACCCTCACAGAGACAACGAAAATGGTCTTTTTAGACACTGTGACTGCTGGCTGTTAGTCTACTGCTCTAGTCCTCATGAAAGCCATTTTATACCTCTTCATTCCCACCTGCAGCAGTCAATTTCAGTCAAAGTAATGCAAAGTCTGACTTAGAGATGGGAAGGCCTGGAAAAAAACCCCAGAAAAAATGGAAAAAAACAAAGGTTTTTTTTTCTGTCCCCCCCTTTTTTTCAAAGCCGTTTCCCCAATTTTTTCCAATTTTTTTCCAGGCCTCTGGCCCTACCCAGAGCCAAACAGTTGACTCTCTGTGGCCTTTCGGAATTTCCCACAATGCTCAGGGTACTTGATACAACATCCCTCTTTGGTGGGATGCAAAATGGCTGCCAACTCTAAAAGGGTCCAAAAGCCAGCGTCCAGCATGTGACCCCCACATTCTAACCCCTCAGAGACCGAGGAGGAAAACAGCTTACTCTTCTTCAAATGTTTCTTCTTGGTTTTACGACAAATGCCAGTAATGCCCGGCACTGCCTTCATGTCACTCTTGTTGACAGGCGGAGGGTGCAAGATGGGTTTTGGAGCTCGTGTCAGACAGACAGGCAAACCTGCTGCACACATCAAAATGCCGGTCATTCCTGGAATAGAGAAAGCAAGTGATTCCAGCAAAACTAATTCCATATGTTCTGATTTAACAGACTTTGGGATTTAACAGACCTTTGGATTTAACAGACTTTTGGATTTAACAGACCTTTGGATTTAACAGGCATGACATCCAGGCTGTTAAATCAAGGTTTTCATGTTCCTTAATAAAAAACGAGAAGGAAGCACTTTTTCTGACTAGCATATTTTACTAAAAAGGCATCAGCTTTCATGAGCTGCAGCTCAACTCATTTATTACTCTTACCTGCCAAGGCAGGGTGGACTGGACCAGTTCCATTCAGATTCTTCACTGGGAGAGCGGGAACCCTAGAAGAGAAAGATGGAGGAGCACATGTTTTTGGAACATCCCAAAAGGCTACTGTTTTATGCTCAAAACCTTCCCTTGCAGCCTGCCAAGCACTTTAGTCCATCTGACTTTCAAATAAACAAACAAGTTGCTTTCTCATAGTAGAGCATATACATACTTAGGTTGAATATGTTGGGTTCTTTGTGTTCTCAGAATCTGATTGCTTTCCTGCAGATGTTAGGCTAGGTAATATCATCAGTGTCCCAGAATACCATTTTAATTCCTGGGGATTCTTTGTAAAATATTCTTTAATTTGAAAGTTCTGATCCAGCTGGTTGTCTCCTCCTCCCCCTCTGTTCTTTATATGTTTTAACCTCCAGTCCCCTAATCGTCTTGGTTGGTCTTTTCTGACACAGACGTCCCCAAGGATCATAAGCAAATAAAGACAACGTTGACTATGTCGAACATTCATCAGTAAACTGTTCCTTGGTCACAGGCAGGATTAACCCCCACCGATTCCTCTCTAGCGCAACCAGATGGCCGACCACATTTTGCTGCAACTCAGGCCCTCTTTGTTGGAGGGGCTGCAGAAACGTAACCACCCCCCCCCCAAATTTTCTTAAACGTCCAGATGGTCCTACAAACAGAGCCGCTAAAAATAACCACGGTGCTTTCACTGCAATGGGACTGGTTTTGACAACTACAATGAGTTATTTGCATGTGTATTTATATCTTATATCTATATATATATTTTTCTCAAAGAAAAACTCTCCCACTGTGTGGGTGTAGGGGTGTGTGCGTGTGTGTGTGTGTGTTTTCCTAGTTTTTATTCACACAATGACAGCTCTGGAGATGGATTGAGAGAAGGGATTGAGTCAAAGTCTCAAAGTCTTCCTGGTACAAATGCCAACAGTTTAACTGTTATGCTAATCTGGCGTAGTGACTTAGAACGAGCTGTTGTAACTTTGAACGGTCGCTAAAGAAATGTTGTTGGTCAAGGCCTAACCTGTATTTCACATCAGTTACCTGTCTTCTCATTTCAAAACAACTAGGTTACCCATAAGCCAAATTTCCTTCTTTGGCATCATTTTCGAGCCAAAATACGTGACTTTTCACCTGCTCACCAGGAGAGCAGATCAGTAACTAGCTGTAGTCCTCTACTCTTGGCCTGGCCTTCCAAACATAACTTGCAGGAGGGCTGGCACCACACATTCAAAATCCCCTAAAAATTGCAGAATTCAAAATCTAAAAATGATTTATTGCACTCTTCCAGCACGCTAACCTGCTGGCATTCACACACAAATGCACACACACACACACACATTCTTCCTTTCTGACTCCTTTTTGCTGACTCTGACACCCATGGGGGGGGGGGCGGCAGTTAATCTCAGAGAGCAGTTGCCCATTGGCTCATCTTACCTAGCTGTCGACATAGCAGATCTTGGAAGCTGGAATATCGTTGTGTAACATTCACAATCGCAGCAGCCAAGAAAAAAAGAAGTCCATGCGAAGTGTAGCGAGAGAACAATGCTTAAAAGGCAGTTTGGCTTTTTCTGGGTATAATAAACGGAACTTGCCCGAAACCTTCTCCACTTTCATTTTTACTAATGAATAAATATAAATAGCCATTTCTGGTATGCCAACTTGAAAAAAAAAAGTCCACCTTTTGTAAATCACCAATTCTATGAGAGAATGCACTATAAGGCATAACTAGGAACAATATTTGCTTTGTTTTATTTTAGCAGTATGCCCTATTTTTATGCCATTTTTTCCCCTTTCTCTTTCCATTTTATTTTCCTTTTAATGTTTTAGGCTTGCTTTGAATAAGGGCCAGGTTGAAGATATTTTCTTGCCTTGAACCACTGTTTAGGGAGTTTGATGTTCGTGATGTGAGTTATAAGGCTTGAAACAAATAAATAAACAAATAAGCTTTTGGTACTGGTGGGTTAATTCTATTATGTTCCCAAAGGTTATGTCTTTTAGAGTTTGAGTGGGGTTTGTAGATTTTAGGGGTCTTTGTCTTCCTAATCTCATCAGCTTCTAGCTTCCTGGATCTAACCTTCCTGAATGGATTATCACATCTGCATTTCTAAAAGCTGGTTTCTGCTGAGTTTTCTGGCTGGGTAGAGGGGCTGGGGCTGGTTTCTGTCCTTTTTTAAAGATCGTCTTCATTATTCCTTTGGGAAAATATATTCTGTCTTTTTAATATTCCCCAAAATATTTCTTTCTCTGGATTCTTTCGACAGTAATCGTTACCGCTACTATTATTTTTCTTATTATCGGAACAGCTGGCGACATTCTAAAGTCTGTTATTCCACCAGTCTATGGATCCGGAGCCAGGGACAAACCATGCAAGGTTTAATCACCTATTAAGACAATTATCCTCACCATCACTTTAATTATTAGATTAAATTGCATTTTTAATAGCTGAAGAGTTAAATGTTTAAATAAACAATTAAATATTTAATTGAAAAATAAATTAAATTATTAACAACATCAAGCCACATTAGTCAGAGACAGACTGAAATGGTAATGCAATTACCATTATTATTCATACTATTAAAACTATTATTAATAGTAATACTGCTAACAATAGTCATGTAGCAATAGTAATAATGCAGATCATAATATTCCCCACATGTAAAACATTCCTAACGAGAAAGCCATAACATTGTTTTTTTAAGGAAGAACGTCACGAAAAGGCAGATTTTAAATAGCGTATTAAAACATGCTAAGGAGCATATTCGTATTTCAGTAATTACAGGAACAATAGTCTCTTAGTATCTACAGCTGATTGTTTTAACTCCTCTGAGTGAACTCTGGGTAGCTTTTCTATGTGATTAAACACCGATGCTTAAGTAGGGCACTTTTATTTGAACTAAAACAAGAAATAATCTTGCTGCTTGCCGCTAACAATCTAGGTTGTTAGCAGCACTTGGGAGAGCCCAAAAGAGATTTAAATTTTAAAAAAAAAGAAATAAGAGTTGGGTGCTATATTATTTATTTTTAAAATTAATTTGTTTGGGGATAGTGTCTGACTCTACAGAGAGACTCTGGGGCAGTTCCAGCACAGTATTTGCAAAACAAGATTTTTGAAAAGGCGATCTGCAATCAATAATGCAGAAGGATGGGAAATCTAACCAAGCGGCACATGAAATATACACAAAACACAAATTACTAGGAGCTGCATTCACTGTAGCCCAAGACTACCTCTTTTTGGTTTTGTTTTAAATCTGCCTATTTTGTGGTTTCCCAAACCCAGACCTGAAAGCAGCTAGGTATGTACCAAAATGGGCATTTCCCACCCCCACCCCCCCACAAATTTGCAGCATTAAAATTATGCCTTCCAAAATGGTGTGTGTGTGTGTGTGTGTGTGTGTGTGTGTGTGTGTGTGTATAAAATAAAGAACCTGATCAAAACTGCATACATTTGAAGTGCAAAAATGCAATGCACTATAACAGGATAAAAAAAAATCTTGCCAAAATATAACTCTCGGAAAAAAAGCAGGAAAAGTACGCAAAGTTTCAAGCAAACTTTTTAAACAAAATGAGGCAGAACAGGGTGAAAACTAACTCCTTGCCAAAGGAAAACAGAAGCACAAGGATCATGCAAGATTTCAAGCAGACTTTGAATGAAGTGGCTTAGGAAGACATTGAAACTAACTTATTGCTGAAGGCAAAACAACAACAACAACAACAGTTAAATCAATACTGATTTGGGCGGCCATAACTGCAAAAGAGACATGGTTTAAATTACTTCAGTAACAGAAAAAAATGTCCCCTCTTTTGCCTTTTCCAGGTTAGTCCTTGGCTTATGACCCCACACTCCTACTCCTCCCCCCCACAAGCCCCTTTCCTTTCTAGCACTGATGATGTTACCTAGTTGGGCAATGAAACGTCTGCAAGAAAACCACCAAGCTCAGATAGTATCAAGGGCCCCACAATCCTCCTCCTCCTCCTCTTCCTCCCCCAACCCCATTCCCTTCTAGCACTGATGATGTTACATAGTTGGGCAATGAAACATCTGCAAGAAAACCAGCCAAGCTCGGAGAGCACCAAGGACCCCACACCACCACCACCACCATCTTCTCCTCCTCCACCCCACAAGCCCCACTGCCTTCTAGCACTGATGATGTTACCTACTTGGGCAATCAAATGTCTGCCAAGAAAACCACCCAGCTCAGAAAGCACCAAGGATACCTCTTTATTTCCATCCCTGGACATTTGACCTCGACGCTTGGAGGAACGCCAGGCCTCACCTATACTTACCCTGGAGGAATGGATGCTCTGCTGCTTAGGATGGCTGCACGCTGCGTCCCAGGCCGGTTCAGGTTATTTTGACCTGGCACTTGAGTATTGTTGGGCGCGCTCTGGCTTCGGGAGAAGGTGGTGGTAGCTTGCATCCCATTGGCAGAACGGGACGGCTCCATTTTGGCCATCCCTCCTGCTTGCACGGCCCCCAGAGGCCACAAGGTTGTCCCATTGAAAGTATTGCTCTGCCGGACAGCCAGCGTCCCATTGCTATTGCCCGAGTAGACCTTTCGGCGTTGGGAGGCCAAGATGGCATTTGACGCTGCCCGCGTGCTGTTGACCAGCAGGCACTGCTGGCACGAACACGGGTGTCCAGAATTCGTCCCCACCGGCCAGGACTGAGACTTAGGGATGGAGCCCATGATGAGCGGGTAAGCTAAGTCCATGCGCCGGCGGAGGCGGCGTTTCCTCTGGGTCTGACGATTCACCTGCGACATGCTGTTGAAGTAGATCAGGTAGCAGAAGCCCAAGGTGGATAGGTCGAGCCATGGATGCTGCTTCTCGTAGGCGTTCTGGATGGTAATGCAGATGTCCATGTCGTAAGGGGTCCAGGAGTTGTTGTCGTTCTCCCACTCCCACACCACCCCTTTGCCAGGAGCGGAAGAAGGATCGTAAAAATTTCTCCGCACGGGGCGCATTGTCCCTGCAACAGAAGGAGACCCCCCCAAGAGATGAACTGACACAGCACAGGAAATGGAAGGTAGAAACAGTTGCCTTGAGCCTTGCGGGAAGGAAAGGCAAGACAAACAGATGCTAAGATTTTCTTGTTTATTACGTGATATATTACGGTCCCAACAGATTATCTATAGCTCAGGGTAGGACAGCAGAGTCCTTGGTGCGCTCTGAGCTGAGTGGCTTGCTTCCAGACGTTTCATGACCCGACTAGGTAACATCATCAGGGCGAATGTATGTGAGGGGTTCACGCTGATAACTTTACCAAGTTGGGTCCTTGAAGTGCCTGCAAGCAAACCACCAAGCTCAGAAAACATCAAGAACATCACATTATTTTGCTAAGGCTGTTTGTCCAACTAAAACTGCACATAGCTTTTGGTACTTCTATCTATTTATCTTCATTAGCAAAAATTGTGGAAGAGAGGGAAGGAGGGAGGGAAATGTGATGGGAGGGGAGGAGAGGCAAAGAGGAGGAGAGAAAGGGAAAAGGGGAAAGGAGAAATGAAAAAGGAAAGGAAAGGGCAAGTGTGTTGGATATCTTCGCCACCTTGCTTGTAAAAATAAGAAAAGATGCGTGATTTTTCTCTCTATTTTTTTAGACGTGGTGCAGCTGATAACGAAGGGCTCCGTAGCTTAGGATGCACTCTGCTCGCTGAGGAACACAACGCACACAGAGAGAGACACATAAACACTTTCTGTACCGCCTCCCCTCCCTCCCTCCCTCCGTGTGCTGATGCAGCCCGCCGCCACAGTCCATGCATGCAATCAATAATTATGTTTGAAGTGTTACGTTAACTATGCATCCCTCCCCAGGGACTCATAAAACCAAGCAGCAGTACGCCAGCAGTTTCTGTGGTGTTTGCTTTCAGCCAGCACAGTTTGGCAAGCGGCCCGCAGCCCTCTCCAGCAGCAAGATCCCTGGGGTGGGTGGGGGGGAGATGCTGTCAAGAAGGCAGGGGAGGGGGGCTGAATCTAGGCTGCAAGGGGTGGAGAGAGAGAGAGAGAGAGAGAGAGAGAGAGAGAGAGAGAGAGAGAGAGAGAAGCTGGCACGATAAAGCTCTTATGTAAAACATTGAAATTTGGAGTGTGTGTGTGTGTGTGTGTGTGTTGTCCTGCATTCACAGCCACTAGGATGGACACTCTGAAATGGAACGCACTGACATTCACCTCCATTTCATGGAGTCCCACTGATCAAGCAGTCGAAGCCTAGGTCCACTCAGAGCGCAGGTGGTCCTCGAAGTTACGGCCACTGTTGGAGCCCCAAATGTACGTGGCTCAGCGAAGCATTTGTGACATGTTGAGCTTGGTCCCATTTTACGACTTTTCTCGCCACACTGCAGTTGTGGAGTGGGTCACCTGGTTGTTAAGTGAACCTGGCTTTCTCTCCCCCTTGATTTTGCATGTCAGCAGGTTGCAAAAGGGGGAATCACATGACCCTGGCAGACTGCCACCGTCATAAATAGGAACCAGCGGCTGAGCATCCGAATTTGGAGCACGTAACCACGGGGCATACTGCCACGGTCATAATCCTGAAAGAACGGTCCTAAGTCACTTTCCCCCCCGCCCTCCGGTGCTGTTGTAACTTGGAACGGTCACTAAATGAAGATTGAGGACTGCCTTTAATTTTTTTCTGCTCTGAAAGTGTGGCCGACGTTTCATTCCAAGGGGGGAGGGAATCCAGCAGGATTCTCCATGGGTAGAATTGGGGGGGAGGGGGTTCTTGCACATACCGTAGTGAAAAGTTTGGCCAAAAGCCTGGGGGCCAACCCCGCCCCACACACACACACTTTGCACTGTACAATCCTCTCCAGCTTTCGTGGTTCCCACCTAAAGGAAGAGTGGATGTTCTTTCTTTAGTCACACCCTACAAATGTAGGATGCTCAGCTGAATTCCAAGTTATGACTGCAGCCATGCCTTTCCCTATATGGTCATAACTTGGGTTTCAGCTGAGCATCACTGAAGGGACTTGTTCATTGCACGTGGAGACGCCCTCTTCTTCTCGTTGTTGTTATAATTTGGAAAAAAAAAAGAGGATCGTGTTATTTTAAATTTATCTTTTAAAATCTGCTGCACTGAGGTCATAGTTTTCTCCCAAGCGGGCGTTTGCAGATCACGTTTCTCAGTGGTTTAATTTTGCTTCTCGTTGATGGCCACAGATCATTAAGAGAAGGAACAGCATTTAATTGCCCTGTTTTCAATTAAAATACTACCACTATGTAGTTACACGGATGAGGAGAGGAGACGAAACACTGCGTCCCTCTCTCGGAATTGGTTTTGGGAAGGGAAGGGAAAGGAAGGGAAGGGAGAGCAGGGGAAGGGGAGGAGAGGGAAGAGGAGAGGGAAGGGAAAGGAAGGGGAGGGCAGAGGAAGGAAAGGGGAACGCAGGGGAGGGAAGCTTGCTTGTTTTTTTGCAGACATTTCATTACCCAACTAGGTAACATCATCAGTGCTAGAATGGAGGGGGGGTTGTGGGAAGGAGGAGGAGAAAGAGGAGGAGAAAGAGGACTGTGAGGTCCTTGGTGCTCTCTGAGCTGGGTGGTTTTCTTGCAGATATTTCGCAGGACACCATGGACCATAAAACAAGGCTTGAATTTCCATAACCTGCAAAATTAAAATGTGGCTAGTGACTCTGGGCGTTCCACCAACGCATCCCATAATTTCCAAGCTATTTCTTAATCGTGGACTCTTCCTCCTCCCAAACAGTTGGGGCTATTATTAAATTAGTAAATCAAGTATCATCCACCAGATGCTGACTTTCCAAAACAGCTTCTGCTTTTTTTTTTTTTTTGGTATTTGGCTGCAGGGATGATTAAAAAACCTTCTTGACAATTCCAGGAGAGACAAGAACAAAATCCCGTCAGGAAAACTGGAGAGCTGGGCTGAATCAATTACAGCAGGGGTCCTTAACTCCTGCGCCACAGCCCATCATCGGGCCTTGAGCCCTTCGGGACCGGGCCACAGAAATGGAGGGGGAGTGCATGCACACGTGCGCATCCTCGCTTGCGCGAACAGTGGGTGCGCCAGTACCCGTATGCTCGCCTGCCACTCATGCGGAACCATCCCCTCTTCCCCCCTCCCAGCGGTCCACAAAGGTGGACAGGTCGGGGAACTCTGAATTAGAGGAATCAATTATCTAATTGATCCATTTCTGGTGAAAGAACTCAAAGATGGGCTCCAGGCCAGATCATCATGGAAAAAGATATCCTTGGTTGCTGAGCATCAACAATGACTTGATGGCATGGAATCCATCGATTCATCAATTAGAGGGATCCACGTCCCTCCATTGGCCACGGGCCTGCTCGCTGTGAACCTCACAGGGTAAATTTTGCATCACCCAGCTGTGATTTACTGAATTAATCCAGTTGCCGGGTTCAAACACTGGGCGGACAACTAAGCTGGAGACCAACATTCATGTCACATCCCAATTATGAGGAGCTGATTTTATTTCCTTATATAAGGTTGAGGACCTCTGCCTTATAAGGCTACGTTGACAAAATCTTGCAGTTCTGACAGTACAATCTTCCCCCCTGCATCTCCTTTACTGTCTGAGAAACTAGGGAGGATCCCTTCTGAAGTTTTTGTCCCTCTCATTATCCAGCTGGGGACTAAGCAGTCTCTTATCTGTCCATCCCCTTCTCTTCGTCCAGTCCCCCAAGGTCTGTCTCACACGCCATTACAAACGCTCAGCATTAGCAACTGGCTCAGGGAATTCTATCCCATCCTTTAGGACTGAGACAATTTTGACCTTATTGCACAATTGTCCCTTTCCCGTGCCGTTGTTGGTCCTTTATGCAACCCAGAAAGGAAGATTTCCATGTGCAACCCTTCTCCTCACAGACAACAGTTGGTGGGGTTTTTTCCCCCCTTCTTCTCATCTTTGTTTGTCCAGCCTGGTTAATTGCGGTAATCGTGGCTATTAATCAACTGCCTTCTAAGCAACGGCAGCAGAAAGGGAGAAGATTGAATTAGACAGCTGCTTTTTGCTGAATCAGCGCCTTTCCTTCTCTGGAGGAAGAAGGCCTAGGGAAGCGGACAGCTGGGAATAATCCGAGATTGCCTCATTCGACCTCCTCCTCCTCCTCCTCCTCCTCCTCTTTCCATGCAAAGGGTGCAGAGGTCTCTGTCAGTGTTTCAACCCGAATTGGGCAGATGAAGGCTCTGTTGCAAGCAATTATATAAGAGATGCTTGTCTTCGCAGCTGGGTGACAGGGCGCGAACTCTTTGCTGAAAAAAACCCAGGGATCACTGCTTGATGCAAAGGTCATCGTGTCCATCGGAGAAAGAAAGCATGGCTACTCTTGATGGGTCCCAACCCATGGTGGGAGATGACCAGCCTGAGCCCGAGGGAGGGGTCGAGCGTATCATAAGTCTCGAGCACCTGCGTGCCCAGAGGAGACCCAAGCCCAGCCCTCCTTGACTCTTATCTACCGCCATTTTGCTTTGACCATTGGTAGTTCAGGATCTCGCAGAGACTGTCAGCGTGCCGTAAACCTGTATTCATTTGAACGGCCTGGATTCCCAATTTCCCGCACCGGAGGGGAACTTTTAAGTTGAGTCGAATGGCTGTAAAAGAGCTTAAGGTAGCCTCGGCTAGGTACGAGTCCACCAAAATGAAAAAAACAAAAGGAGCAATCTGTCTATGGGGATGCTCCGTCCTCCAGCTCATGGTTGTCCCAAAGGTGCTTTTTTTTTCCCCAAAAGGCACCTGGACTTTGTTTGTTTTTCTCTTCTCATCCAGGAAGCTTAAGTCAGAACGGAAGAATGATTTCTTGGACGAGAAATAAAACATCTTCAAGGAAAAACAAAAAGTCCAGTTGCCTGCCTGCCTTCCTTCCTTCCTTCCTTCCTTCCTTCCTTCCTTCCTTCCTTCCTTCCTTCCTTCCTTCCTTCCTTCCTTCCTTCCTTTTCTTTCTCTCTCTTCCTTCCTTCCTTCCTTTCTTCCTTTGTTTTTCTCCTTTCTTTCTTCCTTC